GAGGGTGTCGTCTCTTAGCAACTACTAAATACAGCTATCATAATGGTCAAAGTGGCTGTTGCACGGTAGTTCTGCGGCGCCGCCAATTCAAAAAAAAGAGAGGAGGGGGGGGCATAGTACATGTAAAACGGGAAAACTGTGAAAGTCACCAACCACGGATATGACACCCACCGGATGTGCTCCGCTCATAGTGGCTGCATACGCCTGCCTTTTTCATGTTTGTTGATAGGGGGCAGACAAGCAGACCTGACCTGGTATCAGGGCAGTTCATGCCGCTGGGGAAAATTTTCGGAGAATACGATTCTCCCAGTTTCGTCCTCTGCTCCCCGCCCCCTTCTTCCCATCCTACCTACTATCCTGCACAGTTTTCCGAGCTTTCTAGCACCTCTACCAAAATTTCCCAAAAATTTGCAGTTTTTCCTCAAAAGATTGCCGTCGAGCGAGGGGGCGAAGTATAATATCATGCCAGTAAAACGGGGAGAATCGCTCAAAGTCTATTACTAGAGAAAAATGTTCGCAGCAAATTATGGCAGTATTCTCTCCAAGGCCGACCCCCCCACCCCCTCTCTTCCAGCGACGAACAAATACACCCCCTCTCGGAGTTCCACTTATATGAATAGCCCCATCAAACAGGAATGATCACAAAAAAATTTTCAGATCAACGAGCGACCCCTCCATACTCTCTCCAGCAAACAAATGCACCCCCTCCCGGTGGGAATTCCCCAGCGTACGACGTGCCCCACCGAGTATAGTTCAGCCAGAGCGTGAATTAATACAGAAATTGAGGCAAATCTAGTGTGGTGGTTCCCCCCACCACACTAGCTTTGCCTCAATTTTTGTATTATCAAGCCTCGTACTGTGGGTGCTGCTGTTCAGCGTTTCCTTTATTTTTTGTCTTCTAGAATAACTGTTTTTTTTTTGTCCTTTTGATTTTATTACCTTCGGTCTATAAAGTGGTTACAGATTGTCGCAAAAACCCTGCAGTCCCTGTCGTCGCTGTTGGCTCGACGTGACATCAACGGCCCCTTTATCTCTTCCCTTGGCCGCGATGTTTTCAATGTCATCCGGCCACTCGTCACGGGCGATGACGTGATGACGAAAGTGAAGGTAAACGTGCAATTTGTTTTTTGGAGGTCGATAATGACTTGGTTTGCTTGTTTTTTTTTGATCTGAATCGTTTTTTATAACCCCTATTTCAGGACATCACTGAAGAACAGCTACCGGTTATTCAGGACGCTTTCAAGACTTTGGAGGTGCTGGTAACCGTGGCTGATGAAAAAAGAAGTGCGTACACTAACTAGAGAGAGTTTCAAAGACCGATGTCAAGTAGGGATGTAGGTAGGAATCTGGGGCTGACCACAGGTACTCGAGCATCCCACCAGGGACCCAATCAGGGCACACCATCGCTATGTAAAACGTGTTTGACCGCTGGGGAGGAGAATCGTGAATTGACGTGGTAAACCTCTGATTTTCGAATCCTTCGGGCGCCATGCGGCTTGATGGGGGCATTTTGCTAGTTCTCTCCGCTATCTGTGGAGACCCGTAAATCCCTGTAGGGCTACGCAGTAGCACGAACTTTGCTTACCTTTGACAAGCGTCCACAGGTCTGACATGGTGAGACGTTTACTTTGAGAGGAACGAGCAAAATAAACTAGCTAACGTGCAAGACGCCCCCTCTAAGCCAAACAACGCCATACTTTGCACCCTCTATTTAGTGCATTGTTGGTGAGAATCCCATGGCATTTTATCGCTAACGGGTAGCATCCGGCGTTCGAAAGGAATTCTTCGGAAGCGCGAAAAAAGTACTTTGGTTGCTGAGTTTTCAGGATCCCGCCCACCGTGCGCCATATGCCCCCTCTGAGTTATCAGCGCGGCAAAATACTCATACAACTACAGTTTTTGGTAACTGGTCTCAGGTATTGGTTTGGTATTGTCTCCCCATCTCGACACCAGTTTTTCGGGGGAAAGTGGAAAAGATTCTGGAGAAAAGGCTGGGAAATTGGGGAGGTTGGTAAGTGGTAGGCAGTACGAGGAAGAGGAGTGGTGGGTGGTCTAGCAGATGAAAAAGACGAGAAGGAGGGATTGTGTTTAGCGAAAATTTCTGCACAACGTGATTGTTTTGAATTCCACGACGGGGAAGTGGGGGTCGTGTTTAAGCTGTGGGGTTCGATCCAGGGCAGAAGTGGGCTTGCCGTTCTTTTTGTCAGTTCGGACTTGCCGTATCACAAACTGATGTTCTGCGGGGTAAGTGGCAGATTCGCATTTTGAAAGAAATGTCCCTCATGTTTTGTAGGC